AAATGATATCAAGTGTATCTTTGACTGAGCCACATTGAAATATGCTTTTATCATAGAGTTAAACCGTAAATTGCATGTCTAATAATCTTTAATAAGTTAAAGTTGATTATCATTCGCAATTACATTTCAAGGAACTTGATGACGAAGCCAGAATATTGCATTGGCTTTTCTGAAAATTATTGTCGATTAAACATCGATGATTCTATATAATGAAGGTATATTTAAATAATAAAAATAAGAAATATATTTTTTATATATTCCTTCTCTGCGTTATCTTTGTTATGTACAGGAACATATTTGTAGTTGTTAATTATTGACAATTTAATTTTAAGCTATTGATTAGTTTCAAAATGCATATAACGATATAAAAAATTACGAGTAAATGAAAAATATAATTATTATTATGAAATAATGTTCGCAATAAAATAATTGAAATATAGTTAAAATTATAAATGTAATTAAAATTAAATAAATAAGATATTTAATTTTTTAAAAATATATACACGCAAAATTCTATCAATTGAAGAAAAAAATTTTAATGACATACCGCACTGATTTTCCAAATTTAAAAATTATTTATAAACTAGATGTTGTGAATATTCTACAAAAAGAAATACTATCCTTGTTCAATTAAATTTGTGAGTAAATTAATTAATAAAATACTTTTACATCATCGCCCTTTACGATGATATAATTAAAATGTAAATTCCGAACGGCACTCCGACCATTCGTCGCGGCATTGCGTTACGAGAGAGAACAAAATTGGTAGCGGAAAGTCGCCGCGAGAAAGGTCGATTAAATTCGCATTACCTTCACCCCTCGTAAAGAAACGTAGAGAGAGAGTGAGAGAGAGAGAGAGAGAGAGTACAAAGTGGCTAGTAGCGAGTTCCTCGAGCATTCGAAGAGTACTATTGCTCCCTTTCTCGGTAGCTCCCTAACTCACGACGACGAGCGGCTCGTTCCCTTAGCCGCTAATTAGCGAGGGACACGCACGCCCCACGGTGACCCGTGTCGGGCACGTGGCGTGCCCGGAAACTCGCTTAGCGCGCGACAAACAGACCGTTTCCCATCGTGCATGCGCTCCTTCCGGCCGTTTCCACGAGAAAACGTGGCCGAGGCAGCTGATTAAATCGCCATTAAAACGTGTCCTTATCGCTCCTGATCGGAGCGCCTCCTTTCATGTCCCGCTTTTGCCGCGGGACGATCGCTCAAGGAAAACGATCGGCCCTGCAATTTACACCACGAGGGGAGAGGAGAGGGGGTTGCGTCGGATCTCGTGTTACTCGAGATTATTACACACGGGGGTTCGACTTATTGACCGACTTTACGTGTGCGGCCAAAACTTCCCCGATTAATTATACTTTTTTATCCGAACACTTAGCGTACAAAGAGATTCATTGCATTTTTAGTTTTTACCTTTTATCTTTTTATCGGTGAAAGAATTTTTACTAAATTGCCGTTTTATTAAAAATATTCACAATATCTATGTGAATTCAAATATTAAAATATATACCAAGACTTCCTCTAGTAGTAATTCTAATAATGCTGCCAGATATAAAACGAAACGCACGGAAAACAAAATGATAGAATGAGCTATATTTTATGAATATTTCATAACGCTAGGCAATGATTGCAGTAAGAAATCTACGTTTCTCTGTAAAAAAGTTATCGTCAGGATGCGGCAAGCGGTTATTTCCTTCTCGAGAAATTACCGATAATAAGCCGTAGTGAGTTGTGGAAAAAAAATCGTGCTGCGATTGTAGCTGTTCGTTAAATATACTCGGTATATCGAAGTGTGGTGCGGGGATATATACGAATCATTTTTGATGCACGACGCATAAATGCGTTTTTCGTCTGGAGATTATCTCTCTCTATGTATGTACATGGTAACAAATCGCCGCTTAGCAGTTATCTTTAATGTCAAAGGGAATAATTTGTCAAAGGTTAATCTTCGGTCATTTTGCGAACTTACGTTCGCGTTCGAAGAACAAGGATCGGATTCCACATAATCATGTCGAACTCTTTTTGTTTCGTCCCCCTTGTCACAGAATTATGATATAATCTACGATATACAATATTTAACACGAGATGATATTTATATATATTTTTTTTTTTTCGAAACATTCCAGAGTATATTGATACAAGAAATAAATTACTAAATTATTAAATTATCATTTAATGTAAGTTTTATCTTTTGCCGTGAATTACATTAAGAAAAAAAATATATAGAAAAAGTATTTACAACTTTTACATGTTTTTTTCAAAGACACATACATTTTAGAAAACAACACAGCGATTCGGCGATATTCGTGATTCCGGCACCTCCAACGGATTTTGTTATTTGTCATTTGGTAGGCTAATTTCTGCTTAGAGCGATTCCGTATGGCGAAAGGAAGAAAAATAACCGTCCGCATGTGCGTGACGAGACACGATTTCCATACGAAACAGTCTGATGATCTGCCGATATATTTATTGCGGGCAATGTGCGTGTTCGCGTTCGGGTCTCCTGCGCGGCACACCAACCTCGAATGAATCAAATCCGGAGCTAATCTGATTGCATGCCAATCCATTTTTTTCTCCTAGCCTCTATTGTAAAAGAGGACAATTATCAGCGATATCGAATGATGAAATGATGAAGAGCGGGTTTGATGACAGTGCGTTTTGCGCTAGCTAGATTTTAGCGAGTGATTCGCGTCTCTTATCGTTCGTCGCGGCGAACGTTTGTATAAAATATCGCGAATTAAATGGCGACGTTGAAGTTGAAGGATGCGCTAACGATCTATTTTCACGAGTAAGGTATAAACGTTATATGAAAATGCGTCGTTTCTCACATCTTCGGCGATACACACGTATCATTATTCTCGTTTCCTTTATTACAAGGAACGTCGAAGGATCTCTTTTAAGATTCCGTTTGAGATTCCTCGTTGAGTATATCGAAAGAGCATATCGAAAGTTAGATTTATACACCGTCTCTCGTCTATTTCCCCTTTCTATCTAAAGTATACGATGACGCGATATCGATTCCCGTTGTCGCGTCGCGTATATGCCTTCTGTGTGATTCTTTCATATGCGAAAAGGGTCAGCCGCGTAGAGACGGGGGTGCGACATTCGTGGGGACACCCCCCCCCCCTCCCCTCCCCCATCGGGGGGATGCGTCGCACACGTTTTTAAATGCGTGCGCGTCGTTGTAAAGGCGCGGTCCCTCGCGAGTCCATCCCGATTTTTTCGTCGCGTTTGCGATCGAACGGGGACGTGCGCTGCGTTGCAACGCAATCCCATTTACGCGATAAGGCGCATCAAGCAAATGCGATTTTTTGCAAGTGCTTTCCGCAAATAGCATATACGAGGTATATCGCGCTTAATGGATCGAGCGGATGGATGTCGATGTCTCGAGGTCGTAATTAATTTATTATAATTTACAACGACGGAAAGAACTATTTCAATTTGCATGCCTTTTCATGTCGTTGAGGTACTTTTACGATGTTTTTATACCAATAATCGCATTACGATACATGTATGTGTTATTTGTTGTAAAAAATAAACACGTCTCATTGATATATTAGTGGATTCGGGATTCAAAATAAGTTTGTTTTAAGTTTAAGTAAGAAATTAGAGAAAGATTATTTTCTGCCTTTTCTTGTAGACATCTTATTTTCAAGAGACTAATAAGATACTTGTAAAAATAATAATTTGAGATAAACACGCTCAAGTGTGTAAAATTCGAATATTTATTCGGATATTTTTCGACGAATCATATTTATCATTTCTCAGAAACTAAAGAATATGTTTCTTTCGCTCCGTGACTTGCGCGACCTGTGTTCGAACATTTCGCCGATTATAGGAGACCAATGTTCTGAATAATGTACAAAGCAGTCTATGGTGACAACAAGGCAGCCTTCATAAATAACTCGGGAACCACCCGCCGAAGACTCGATCGCACACATCTTTTGTTTCAGATAATAATATGCGCGGAATATTATTGCATCTTGAGACACGTGATACAGAATGACATTAAATAATAACATTAAACTTCGCATCATTAAGCAAATCGAGATAAAAGCGATGATTTAAAATACTAAGCATAACTATACAATATAATGTAAAATTCTGTAGCAATATTTTTCCACATCTTTACTGATACCATTGTTATTATAAATTATTTTATATTTTGTTTTCAGATATTTGTTGGAGAGATGAAATGTGTAGCGAGAAGTCATTTGTGTTGTAAAAAATATGATTTATTAGACTGATGACTTTGAGTTATATAGCGTTCTGCTGTGGAAAACTATTTTTAACTACTCGCTTCGCGTCTTCCGTTTGGATGTGGAGACTAAGGACAGAAGCTCGTTACCAACAATTGTAGTTATCGATCGGCGGTATGCAACATTTGGTCGAAGACCGCGGAGAAAGAAGAAGTTTAAGGGAGAACACGCGACAAGCTGTAATTCTGAGGACAAAACTTGGACTATACGAGTATAGTCGCAACGTAAAAATTAGATATACGGAAAGTGGAGGCTTGTTACTGACGATCGCAATTATCGATGCTCACGCAATACCCCTCGTACGCCAAAACTTTGTCATATGGTTCCCCGCCTTGTCCGGTTAACGCTTTATGATCTCTCTTTAGAAAAGTCTGACGAGACAAAGAGATCAATACGGTATATTGTATTTCTGAGCCTCTGTATATCATCAAGCTATGTAGGACATTGGTGAAAGTTTTATATATATATATATATATATATATATAGTAA